CTAGATAATGCCTACGTGTATCCTAGCAACGCATAAACGACAGTTTGACAATGTTGTCACGCGTACGCAAGGATTTATTTTTTACACTTTTTTATCAATACATATTTTTTTCGTTACTGTATTTACTTACTTAAATGTATGGTGTAGGTATTGATAACAATATTTTAAAGAATTATTGAGTACCTATGTAGTCAACTTAAGATGATTAATATTCTGCAGCGGTGTCACAGTTAGGTTATTTAATCACAATTTCGTTAATTCTATTTTCATTTTTTGCTATTGAAATGCTGCAAAAAATATATTTCCAAATAAACACATTCGTAATGATATTTTAAACAGCTAGTAATATAATTTATTTTAATATTGATGACAATTGTTTTTTAGCGTGAAAGAATTTATGACATATGCGAGTTCTAACTTCTAACAATTATTGCGTAGTACTATCGATCATTTTATTTTATTTCATTTTATTTTGTTTAACACTAACTACTATTTTAAGTACTAACAAGCTATTTTATCTACCTTTATTAATTCACGATTAGTGACCTATGTACTATAACTGTATCAATGGTCAATAAATGAGTATGAGTATGATGATGCCATAATTTTTACATATTATTTAATCTACAGGTTGGGTTATTAGTACGTTGCGGGAATGTAGGTACAGGGTTTTTGTTTATATTTTGACACCCACTTACTGCTTTAACTATTAATGGTAGAAGAAAATTTAAATACAAATGTAGGATTTTTCCTTTATTATCTTTTGACATTTTCAAAATTTGCTGACATAAAATATACTTACGTTTAAAATAAAAAATTTGTTAAAAAAATTAAAATACATTCTTATAGAAATAACAAATAACTATTTTTATAAATAGCCTTTATACATATATTTTCTGGATATGTTTTGAAACATAATGATAACATAAGGAGAATACCTAAAATCGAAATAACTATCAATTTTTACAAATTTTCCACATGTCCGTAATTGTGAATTACACTATTGAAAATATGCATTAGTTTACTATTTATTGCGTTAAAAATATATTCGGGATTATCAAACACTTCGTCCTGTATTTTATCTCTCAATACTTGTAAATTTTGTGGTCTTTAGTAACATACTTTGTTGAAGTGTCCCCTCAAAAATATATCTAAGGTACTGAGATCGGGGCTGTTATCTGATTATCTAAGATTTCTTATACTTATTACTTTTTACAGTATTTGTTGATGGGATCCTTCCTCTAAAATAAATTTGTCGATATCCTGCCAAACTCTTGCAGCATTATTGTTATTTGTATAATACGAGTACAGTTTAATAATAGCCTCTTTAGTTAAATTGAAAAAAAAATTATTGGAAAAATCTCCCCTACTCCTGGTTTTGGTTGCCCGTTCTGCGGTGAAACAAAAAAGTTAATCAAAAATTGCAACAGCAGTGACGAACGCATTATCTTATCTCTGTAAGGGATCTGTCATTGAAGATTTGTTGCTTTTTCTTGATAAATTTCGGATCAAGTACTCCTTGAGATTCCAACAATTTCATTAAATAAAAAATGAAGGTACTTCTGTAAACCCAGTTATTACTTGGCAACTCTGGCGTACTTCGTAACCGCTCGAACCTATTACCGAGTAAAGGAGCTACCACGTCAAATTTTATTGCTGGATGCCACCTTAGAAGAGTCTGCATCCTTTTTGGGTTGCCAATTTGCAACATTTAACACGCGGTCTGGAGCGAAGCTATATTGTCTGTTGTAATGACTCTGCAAAATCCTCGCCGTTCTGAGGCTACTCATTTACATAAAATACAAACACGACACCATCAAATCTAATTTTAGCGCAGTCGCAGTCATGTGTGCTTCTACTAATCAGTTGCTGGACGACGGCAATGCAATACACTTTGTGCACAGAATTATGTCGAAGTTCCTTCAGTAACAAAACTTTTGTACATTAACTAAAAGAATTTGATTTTATGTCCATGTTTTCATTCATTACATTTTGTTTGAGTAATACTTAAATATTTAAATAACGGAAAAGTATTTTGTATCATATTTTTTTTTAAACAGCGAAAATCCTTTTCAGAAAACTTTTCTGTAATTATTTAACTTTTAGATTCAATATAAATCGTATAAAAACGTATTTATTGATTATTTGTTTTATATGTCGAAATTGCTAGGACGTAAGCGCCAATAAAATACACTAATGATCCTGCTTTACCATATAAATATTTTCCTTCAAGTATAAATATTGCACGTCTATGTAAATGTTACTGGACGCTGCAAATTGCTCTGTTATGTGAGAAATACCTAATTAAATTAAATTATATCCTCTTCTCACCTTCCACAGCCGATAAAATTAAAATATAGTTAATAAATTTATTGAAAACAGTCTCGCTTACCAATATACTCACAAATATGTGCTTACGCTATATATGAAAGCGAATTTATTGCCATCGTTTGAAGTTAACCATATCTGTTAAATAGCTCGTTTTTAAAGTTATGAGGAAATTATTTATAATGGCCTGTTATTTCACTATAAAGTGTTTGCTGTCCAACAACGTGAGTGTGTAGATAATTCTATAAAATAAATTGCTACAGGCCTTGTTCTTACTCATAAACAAGGATACTTACAATTTTTTTCGAAAAACTGAATTTCTTTGTATCAAATTAATTATACTTACAATATTCGTACTAAACTACAATAGAATTAGCACATATTTTAAAATTAATGTTTTTCTGTCTTTCATCATATGAAGTATTTAAAAATTAAACAAGTTAAATATCGGATATCTATAAAAAATAACAGGATAATGTCGACATCATTCAAACCTAAAAAATGAATCCAATGTTGGCTTCGTTCATTGTATTAAAGTTAAAGTGATTCATTTGAACGAAACAAGTATATTTAGTAAATACAGTATTATACTGAATGATTCAGAAAAATAGCTGGTCTAAATGAATATGAAATACCAGAGAAAAATATAATAACATGTCACTATTACCAGTTTTTGAAAAACCAATTGTAGGCCACTGAAAAATTTGTCAACTGAATTTGGTTAAGAACTCGTATCTACCGAGCAGTAGCACGGAAGCAAAAGGGAACGCGGACTTGGTTCACCTTCTAAGAATCAGATAAAGTACAATTTCATGTCATGGATAAAGCATGCCAGGTGAATGTGTATGAGAAAGAGATTAGTTGTTATAAGAAGGAAGGAGTATAAAATGGCCATAGGGCTCAACTAGCCTGAAAAACCAACCATCGCTCAACATGAGTTTGATAAAGATATAATGTGAATTATTGGAACTCGAACATCCAAATAACATGTACTGTGAAAAAGGCATTCGGATCACTAGACCCTGTCTCTTTTAAATATGCGTGATAGACCACTGTGCCTGAAAGTATAACTGAAAGTATAACAACGGCAGCGACTATACCGCAGACGAACATCAGACCACACCCACCACCCTATTGCGCAACTATGCCCGATACACAAGTGAGACATCCGTACTCCCACCACTGTATTGCTATACGTCCTATACACAAGCGAGACATCTGTACTCCCACCACCGTATTGTTCAGAACTAGATGTGTGCACAACAACACCGACGCTATAAAACCGCGGACGAGGTCTCAAACGGCCTCTGTTGAGGCAAAACTCTTGCAGAGGTTGCCGACATTGCAAAACGGCGAATTGTTTGGAAATATTTAATGAGAGCAGTTACAAATTCCACTACGGAAGTTTCAAAGGACTAAAACTATGCGGGTCACAAAATGAAATGTATAGGGATTTTTTAAGGCGATTACAATTTTATACACAATGTAATTATTAAAATTCAATAAAATTCCTTTGTATTTACAATTGCATTTGCAATAAAGAGATCCTATAAAACTTTTTTGTGGAACGATCAGTTTTAAAATTAATTTCAAATTAATGCACTGTCTAGTAATTATAATAATTCGAAAATCACTTATTTTACGAAAAAATTGGAAATGATCTTTTTTTAAATACAATTGCGAATCAAAAAGTCACCATACCAAGTTTCATTAATCTTCGTCAAAAGATATTTACATATTGGTGATGTTTTCGAAAAACTTAAACACTACAACTTTTAAATAGAGCAGTTTTGGAGTAAGGTCCTATATTATTAAGAAATATCAAATTTTGGCCTCTGGATTATCTGATAACATTTAAACACTCTGATGCAAGAAAGAGATAAGTCTACATTTAAAAAAATATAATATTGTCCTAAGTATATATTTCCAAATCTATTCCTATCGACTGGTCCAACTATGGAATCTGTAGATTTAACTGAGATAAAATTAGTTATCCTCTATTATAGACTGGTGCAAAGGATAAATTAGATGTCACTTATGCCATTCTTGCACCACATATGTGCTATTATGAGTTATTTTGAACTTGGCATTTGACCCGATTGTTTTTTTTTTGTATTTGAAAGTAATAACTATGTATTTATCTAATAATTTTTTATACGAAAAAATGTCTTTACTATTACTGATTCACTCCATCCTCCTAAAATAAATAAAAAAAAATAAATGGCGACGCATGCACATATGATTTTGGAGGACAAATTATTTGTTGGACATCATTATTATTTATACGAATATTTTCTAACTCGGATGCAAATGTTACGCTTATTTTGCCATGATATGACAACAAAAAGTGCTTACTAAAAAAACTGTTTCTGCAACTCCTGCAAAATTTTCACCTTCTTTTGCCAGGATCTATATTTACCTTCTTTCATTTAAATATACCTTGTATAATTCCTATTCCATTTATGTTACGATGACAGGTAGTAGGAAAGGGAAACATCTATTTATTACCCCTGAATTAAATTTGATGTATCTTTATGGTTGTTCTCGGTAGCAATTTTATCTGGCGCTAGAAATACCACGTCGGCTATACATAACATCCTATCGGATTTATATGCTCGCATGACGATATGAACCCGTGCAAGGACCTATTACAGCCTGACATTTGCTTTCAGCTTTGGAATGCTACACGACACTGAAAAAACCGGGTGCAAACGTAGGCGAGGCAACGTCTTGCACATTATGACGCCCAGCTTCGAGGCGGACACCGTCACCGTCAGCTGGTCAGAGTGCAGCCGGAGGGAGATCACCAGGTTCCTGGAGTAAGTAGAGCAAATATATTTATTAAAAAAATGTGTGTATATATCTTTAGAACACTAATTTCATACGATTTTTCTTCGGGTGCTTTATACACAAAAAGCCGTAATTTATTTATTTATTTTATTTTATTTGTCGATATCCCATCACACAGTGCTGAATTTTTTTAATGTTTTATTGCAAAGATCAAGACTGTGTAAATTACACAATTCTTATTACGACACGTCAATAAAAATAACATTTTGCATAATAACATTAATGATTAAAGTATACTCTAATTCGAGTTTAAGTTTATTTTGCGAATTTACAGGGTGTTTCTAAAATAGGGTTCTGCTGCGTTTATAACTCATTAAAATAAGCCAAAAAGTTCCTATTAACATGTGCCCTAAAACGCACCCTTAGCAAGTTATATGCCCTTAAAAGGGCTCAAACAAAACTGGTATTTTTTCTGTTATTGACAAAACGGTCGCAAATAAATAGAAACAAATTTATGTCTTACATAACTTTTTACGTTAAATAACATAGGCTACTCCGTTTTTTGACATGCAAATCATATGCGTCCCATTTAGGTTGGTGAAGGGGTTTTTCGGCCCGTAATTTTTTTTATTTCATTTTTTTTACAATTTTCTCTTCAGATTTATAAAATCTTAACAATTTTATCTAAAAAATATTATCTTTGTCCAAATCGATATTTCCAATGGTTTTCGAGTAAATTGAGTTTGAAAATTACTCTGCTCTTTAAGTTATTAGGCCAAAAATTACAAAAATCTGTTTACCATGTCTAATAAAAGACTGACGTTGCCACAACGCTTAACAATTTAAGTTATTGATAAACTGCCAATTGAGCTTTGCAGTGTTTAATTTATTTACTAAATGATCGGATCCTTCATAACTGCAATTTATTTGAAAAAAAAAAACAGTTTTGTTTGAGCCCTTTTAAGGGCATATAACTTCCTAAGGGTGCGTTTTAGGGCACATGTCAATAGGAACTTTTTGGCTTATTTTAATGAGATATAAAAGCAGCAAAAGTTTGGAACCCTATCTTAGAAACACCCTGTATATTTTTATTTAAAATTTCTGTTGTGTGTACATTCCAAACTTAAAAAGGAGGCTCAATGTACCACATGGTATTCTAACTCCATTTCCGTTGCATACAGCTTGAAGGCTGCCATCATTTCTTACAACTACTTTCAAGATTTCGCAAAAATGCACCTCGCCTAAGTAAGACCACCTAGTAGATGCCTCGAGTGAGACATTAAAAAGAACTAAGCATAATTTATAAGAAGATGTACCCCCGAGGTAGCGTGCATCCTGGAGTAAACATTGTTATTAGTGAAGCTTAATGTGGTAATATGCGACAGGGACTCAACGGTATTAAACCCACATTATTGAACCCCTAGGGCCCGCCTGCATAGTAAATTAAGACTGCAAATTATTGATAAGTACGTAAAAATCTAAACAGAGTATTTGCGATTATTTGCCATAAATTTGCATACGTCAATTTCGATTATCTTCGTTTAACTCCCATCACGACAGTAAAGTGCACTTTAGTAGACCATGGATCGAATACTTTACATGACGAAATTCAGTAGGGTATAATCAAATCGATACAGGATGTAATTTATAGTTGTCCTGCTTTTGAAGACCTAGACATTGAACAGCATTGACCATTCACAGATGTTTATATCTCATCTATACTCACGCCATGCCTGTAGCTAAGACTCCAAAAATGAGAACTAATAAGTTCAAAACCGGTATATGTCTGGTGGATTAGACTGAAAAATCACAATACTGTTTACTAGATATTGCTGGTATATTGCAATGCTTGTCGGGGCATGTAGCCCGCAGAGTAGTTGTTTCCTATGGTATCACAATATTATCCGTTTATGATGAAAGTCGAAATCAAAATAAATGTGCGTCATTCTTATAGAAAATTTGTTGTTGAGAATCGATGACTTGAATGTGACATTTATGCAATATGTAAATTGTGTTGCCGGTGTTACATAGAAGTTTTAAACTTTAACTTTTTGTATGAAGTAGCAAAAAATGTAATAAATGTAAATCTAAATAAATGAAGCATCTTTTTAGACGACACTTTAAAGAAACTATGAAATACCTTCAAAGGTTTATCTTCATAATAAACATTTTTTTCTTATTACATTTCTTATTCATTTGTTTTTCAAAAACTTTTAATCATTCAACTAACAAAATTCCAGGGCAGGTTTAACTTTAAACCCGTTTTTTTACAAAATCGCTGCTTTTAGCGACAAATACTAAGAGTACCTTTTGTACGTAAAATTGAATGGAGAATAGGTATGTTTAGTCAAAAATGACATACAGTGAACAGAAAACTAAGTAAATATTTGAGTTTCTCATCATCGGTATTCCCAGTTCCCATCATTAATACCAAACAAAAATATTTTTTTGGACGCCCTATATCTTAAGACCCAAGCCATTGCAGACCCATGTTCATATGAACTTTTTATCTTAAATTAGTCAAAAATTTACCCTTTTAATGTTTGTACAAGTACTTAATGAACACCCTATACATAACCATAATCAGAAAAACCTGAGGATTCCAAAACGGACAAATATGCAGGGAATTCCATTAAAAAGAACATGAGTTTGGTTTATACCCTAAATATACAACAGTCAATTGTTTTTCTATGTTTCTTTGGTATCACAACAAAATTCTCTAATAGTGTGTTCTTAATTATTTTTGCCTAGGCAAAAGAGCAAGAAAAATAATGGGATATTGAGTTTTCACCACAGTCAAATTTGTAAAACTTATCTCATATTTCTTTAAAAATTTTTACGTTTACATGTTCTATTAGCCATATTTCGTTTATACATCTTTTCTAAATAGTGTAGACCATTTAATTTGTACTAAATGATCTAATACCCTAGTTTTTGCCGTATTAATCAACGTAACACTTGAGTCGTTTCAAATATTTACTACTTACTTGTTATATTTTCTAGAGTAATATTTCGAAGTTGTTTATTGCCATGAAAATTATCTCTCAACTAAAATATCTGCTTTTGAATATACGCTAAAAACTCGGAACCTTAAAAACAGTAACTTCCTCTAAAAAGAGAAAGGGCGATTTGGGATAACGTATCTACAAATCTCAGACGCAAACTTATTTATGTCGATCTGTACTTCACAGCATCCCTATTGCGATTGGTAGTAATATCTTTTCAGATGACACGAAAAACAATGATCAGTTCAGCAACCACCAGCTTGCAGGATTTTGCAATTTGAAGAATAATTCAAACTAGAGTATTTTTAAAGCCATTTGTTAAATTTACTTAAAATTTTCAAAATTAGCATAGTTTGAATAGGCGAAAATAAAAATGAGGCTAAAATTCGTTAATCGAATTCGTTAAGCGAATATTTTTTATCCACAAATATCTCTACATTCCTATTGAGATTTTTTTTTTAGTTATTACATATCAATTTTGCACGAAAAATTATAAATCGCTAGTGCAAAAGTATAAACTTTTAGATAAATTAGGTGTTTTAAATATTTTACTCCACTATATTTACCCAAAATATGACTTTATCAATCATAAACTGAACGTTGATGGCGAATAATAGATTTTTTGTCAACAGTAAAATCACAAGAGCTTTTCTTTATATCGGATAATTCTCTTTGTAAAGAAATGATTTTGCTAATCAGTAGTTTTACGAGAAAAACTGAGATAAAAAAGTCGGGAGACCGAAAGTCGAGCGATTTTATCAAATGCCACTTTTTCAAGCAAAATTACTGATTGGCAAGATTTTGAGTTAAAAAGAAATTTATCCATGAAATTAAAAGCTCGCGTGGTTTTTGACAAGATAATTTAACGATCAAATATGTGAATGAACAACAAATATAAATATCTTTATTTATTCTATGTGAACGAATAACAATATTATCTTTATTATTTGAAGGAACAGTTATTAAATACACAGTTATTATAAATTGTTTGGTTTGGTGTACTGATTTCAATATTTTCTTGTCTAGTTTCCGTACATGTTGAATATTTCTTTTGACTTATTCCGTTCGTAAGTTACTAATAGTGTTTCGTGATGTTCACCGTCAATTTGAAGGTAGGGTTTAATGAATGATGACAATGAGTGCCCGGTTATCTTTATCAATTGTTGGTCACTTATCCCTGCTTTGACTAAGTGAGAAACTGTACTGGCACGGTTTGAATGGTTAGTAATTTTATTATTTGGGATGTCCAGTCCAATAATGGAACATTTTTATACCAACCTTTAGAATTTGTGTTTGTCCAAAAGGGATTTATTTGAAGTTAATCGGATGTTGTTTTCGTTTCTATTTTGTAATTTTAACATTTTAACTAGACAAACATTTTTATCGTTCTTATTTTTTGTTATCCATATGCTGTCTGTCTATTTCTTCGATCCGCCTTGTGCTGTCTGAAAATATTGAATGGTATTCGATTGTTCCTGTTGGGGTTCAATCTTGATTTTTTTCACTTTTAAAATGTCAAATTTTACAGTTTGTAGTCTCTCCTTCTCTCCAAGCCAATTCATAAAAAGCCATATGAAAAAATCTTTTTTGTAATCCCTCTGGTGCAATTATATTCAACAATTTTTCCATTATTATTAGATATATTTTCTTTGTCTATTGCTGCAGAACATAGGTACCTTTCTTTTTTCTGGAATAGCTTGTAATTCCTTCCTCTTACTGTTTCTTGCATCATGAGCTTCTTTAAAAGTTATGTCGATAAAGTATCAAATTTAATGCTATATTCAATGAAATATTGTTCTTGAATTATCTTTGCAGTTGAATTCCAGATTTTTTTAGCTGCATATTTTTTGTAATATTCCCCAGTTTTCTTGTTCATATTTCCCAATCCTTTAACATATCCGCTATATTTTCTAATGGAGTTACTTCTTACAGTTCGTAATTTCGAAATTGACAAAATTCCATAAATTGTCTCCATATCGACGATTTAGTGTTATTTGTGGATTGTGGAATTGATTTTTCTATAT